ACGGTTGGTAGAGGAGTTTTGAGACGACTCGAAAGTCACCAGGGATCCAGAAAGGGGTTGGATCGCAAGATATGCCTCGCGGTGACCTTAGGTGTGGTGCTGGCGGTCGTGGTGTTCATCGTTCAACGGTCACTAGAGGAGCAATCCGCTGCTGCTATTGTCGAATCACAGGTAAGTTCAGATGGTTACAATAGTGTGGTTACCACACGGATGGCAACCCTGAAGCTGATGCAGCCGATGCCGGCATTTACCGTCAACTTCGTTAAGCTGCACTCAAAAGGGCAATCCGCGGCTGCTATTGTCGAATCACAGGTAAGTTCAGATGGTTACAATAGTGGTTACCACACGGATGGCAACCCTGAAGCTGATGCAGCCGATGCCGGCATTTACCGTCAACTTCGTTAAGCTGCACTCAAAAGGGCAATCCGCTGCTCGTATTGTCGAATCTCAGGTAGGTTCAGATGGTTACACATAGTCTGGTTACCACGGTTGGTATATCCCTGCGGGACGGGTTTCCAGTGGCCTGATTACCACCTGTATCTTGAAGTAAGTTGTGGTTGTGGTTCTGGTTCTGATTTTGGTTGTGATTGGCTATTTAGACGGCCATTGGCGGCCATTTGAGGAGCAGCGCTTGAAATATTATTTACTTTCTCACTTGGTTTTATGTTCTCACCACTCCTACTTGTGTGACAGACAGATTGGTTACAAGTGCTCTGATCACCACCAGATTGTGACATTGGGGTGTCCCTTTCGTCCTTCCACCATTCCGTTTTCTTTCCTCGGCGTTGCCTCTTGCACCGCCTTCGTTTTCCCTTCCGCTCAATTCTCGTCACACTCACGTATACAGTTTGTCCTCCTTTTGCTCCCTCTCTCTCGCCATTCCCTCCCCATCCCTGTCTTCTTTCCCAATTTTGTTTCCAACAGCCCGGATTCCCGCCACTGTCTCCAGACCCAGAAGAGCGAGCCGAGCAGATCCATGCGCAAACCGAATCTGCCCGGAAAAAAATCGAGGAGCTGCAAGCAACCATAAAGTCTATCGAAAGATCACGAGACGAGACGAAGGAACGCTTGAACCTGCTTCTCTCTCAGGCACAAACCTTGGGGGGAGGGGAGGGATCAGATAAAGACGGTTCTTCAGCCATCAGGGTGATTGAAGGCACGGGAATGCCGGACCAGCCGAGTGCATTCAAGCCGGTTCGGGCCGGACCTGCCGGAAAGGTTCGGTTTCCCCGAACCAACCCTCCGGTGGTTCCGAGTTCGGAGGGGGTCGATCCAGCCTTGGAGTCTCTTCTGCTGAAAATAGCTTCGGAGAAAGAGATTTTAGCCACTGTTGCTGCAGCCGAAGTGCAGAATTTCATGGAGATCTGGATAAGGCAAGTGGTGAGAGTCGGAATCACCAATGCTCTCGTCCTCTGCCTGGATCCTGCTACCGAAGCAGCTTGTAATGCAGCCTCAGCGAACCAGGTCGCCTGCTACCTCGTCCCGAACCTCCCCGCCGCGTTCGCACCCCCGCAAGCCTCGTCAAACGAGAGCCCGAACCAGCGTCTAGCTTCAGTAATCGACAGCCTAAACGGCGCGAAATTCTACGTGTTACGAGACGCTCTAGCCCTAGGATACTCCATCTTAGTTTCCGACCTCGACGTTACCATTCTCCGTAACCCATTCTCTTCAGGAGAGCTAGTCCGGGACTGTGACATAGAAGCCATGAGCGTGGGGCACGATCAAGCATCCGCGTACGGTTACAACGACGTTACCGACGATCCGTCTATGGGCTGGGCCAGATACGCCCACACAATGCGGGTATTCGCCATGGATTCCGGCTTCTTCCTGGTCCGCCCCACTGCTCCCGCTTTAGAGCTCTTTGATCGGGTGGCGGCTCGGCTGGGAGCGGCATCGAGAGGAGGGGGCGGGATTTCGGGGCTGGTGAGCCCTCTGGTGGTGTTTAATGAGGAGATGTTCTACCCCTCGCGGCCGGACTACAAGGGCGTGTTCATCTCCCGGCGTGTGCTGGACATCCATCGGTTTATCAACTCTAAGGTAGACCGCCCTTGCTCTTGCCAACGTGTCGAATTCTCATTCGGAATGTCTGTGGTGTGCCAGCCTCCATGTTTCCTTCTCTATCTTCCCCATCCTCCTTATAAGCCACTCTTGCAGAACTGAATACTGGGCCGAAGTCTTATACGGGATCCACTCTAACTTTACCATATTCCAGTCCCCTATTTCTCTTCCCTCAACCCCCTTATAGGTGTTTTTCAAAGAGCTCAAGCAGGACTATGGCATGCTGTTTTTTACTCGACTCAATAGTCACCTGGACCATCTTCCAGTCTCCCGTCTCTATTTCATCATCCCCCTTTTAGGTTCTCTTCGGAGAGCTCAAGAAAACTGTGGCAGGCTGCATGTTGAGTCCACTCTGAAGTCACATTGACCATTTTCTTATCCCCCTCCCTTAATAGGTACTGTTCAAGGAGCTCAAGCGGGACTATGGCAGGCTGCAGTCTTTGGTGGGGTCAGCAGTGGCTGTGCATATCAATTACCATGTCGATAAGCTCATGCGCTTCTCAGCCGTCACCTCGTTCTTCATGGACCGGGAGCGAGCCGCCTTTGATTCCTTACCCCTGGCCTCCTCCTGAAGCGGCATCAAGTTGCTTTCTACAATTAGTATGGTGGATAAGCTTGTGCACTTAGCTGTGACCTCCCTTAATCGTGTACTGCACTGCAAGTGCAGTGTGTTAACTAAGAGGAATGCCATGGAATGGATGGGTAAGTCATCCTGCATGCTTCTTAATGACCAAATACATGTTTGGGTAATGAATTGTCAAACATCAGTGCTGTGAAACACTCTTTGGTTTGGTTAGTTGTTGTGGGAGGAAGAGGGGGTTTTGGGGGTTGAAGTGGGGTGGGGAGGAGAGGGGTGTACCCCAGCTTGCTTCTGCTGTTACACGTTTCTTGTCTGGCAACAATACCAGCCACGCGCACTGCGGAGAAGGTGGTGCGAGGGAGATGCGCACATTGCCATCACCACAACTACTTGCAACGAGCGAAATACACTGCGAAACTCTCACGAGTTGCGAAGCATCTTCGTTCTCAATCGTGCTGTTCGCCAGTTTTATGGCATATCATCGCAAAACGCTCAAGCATGAATCCTGTGCCTTTAAAAAGCTAGACAGCCTTGCCACCCATCCTAGAAACTTATGTGCTCGACAAGCTAGGCGGCCATGCCACCCGTCCCGAATTGTACGGCGAAACTTGTGAGTTTGACAAGCTAGTAGGCGGCCGTGCCACCCATCCCGAAAATATCGCGTTACAGATGATGGCTATGCGATGGAGCTCTGTGCTCGTTAGGAGCTTTAGGAAGGATGTTTCACAGCATAATCAGATCGGTAGGTTTCCTTCACGTGCCGTCATTTCCTGTGTCCTAGAGCTCGTAATCCCGCAAGCGCCGTGGTTGATTGCTTTCGATAATTCATCATGTTCGTCAAAATGCTACTCCATCTCGCGTCAGATCTCCGCCTCAAACCAACGCCTGAAGATTCCGTGATTCACCCGAAGGGCCCTCTGCATCATCAAAGATGGGATCGCCAGGTTACCTTCGGAGCGAAAACCTTTCGCGGAGTCAACGAAGCTCGCCAGAGGCTTTCCAAGGAAGAGATTCCAGAAAGGTATCTGCGGTTCATGCTGCCGTCCCGGGCCAAGAGAAATGAAATGAAGGAGCTAGCTTACCGTGCAGCGTTTCGCGATGCTCTCCTTGGAAATCTTTCATTCCCGGACGCGGAGCCACCTGCGAGCGCGGAGCACGTAGCCGATTACGCGAAAAAGCTCGCCAAGCATTTCGCGAAGAACGTGTTACAAAACGACTGCGTGCGTTTGTTAAAGAACCGTCAACCGGTTTACGATTCAGTCCAGGAAGGGCCCTCTCACGATCCTAAGTTCACCACCAGAGTCACTTTACCCGACGATTGGGGCAGTTTCACTGGCCTTACCTGCCCGGTGAAAGTTGATGCGGAGCAAAGCGCGGCATTCGAGGCGTGGTGGAACGTTTTCGTGGTGGGACCGCACGTGCAAGGTGGGGAGAAGGGTACTGCAGTAGCTGATGTGGCTGGTGATGCGGCGGAGGCGGAGAGTTCTAAGGGAAATCGACGAGCAGCAGCAGAAACAGATGATGATGAGGAAGATGAAGAAGCAGCAGCAGCAGCAGCAGCGGTAGCAGGAGGAGGAGATGGGGAGTCTGCCAGTGGTTCTTCACCTGAGGCTTCCGACAGAGATGTGGAGTCCGTAGGAGAGCAGCGGAGGGGAAAGAGGAAGACTGCCGAGGAATCAAGAGATGAGAAAAGAATGAAAAGGCGTAGCAAGGGGTGATTGCTAAATTTGAAGCAGACAAGCATGCATGAGGAGGGCTTGTTAGTGGATGCATGAAGGGCTTGTATTGTATCAGGAAGAAGGTGTGCGGTTTTGAGATGAGCACAGGAACCAGGGAGTAATACCCAACCGTAATTATGAACAGAGCGAAAGAAGGTGCAGGGGAGAGGGTGCAGCAGCAATCTTGGTTAGGCAGCGCTGCATACAGCAATCTTGGTTATTCAGCATAGCCTACAGTGATCTTGGTAGGACAACCCACCCACCACCATACTTCCAACTTTCAGACAACTAACAAAGGCTGGTGTGACGACTACGTATGTACACTATCCTGCACTAATATACAAAGCTGCCGCATAAGACCAATCACTCTTCGTCACACAGCCCGTTGCCCTGATTTCACCTACATTCGAGGAAACAATCCCCCAAGATGAAACACCGCCCATTCATCCTCCTCATCCTCTTCCTCCATCCTCATCCTCTTCCTCATCCTCATCCTCATCGCTCATCATCCCCCTCACCTCCCCACTCCACCGCACTCCCAAGTCCGTCACCGTTGGTGAAACTGTGACCCCTCAGCCCGTCGTTCCTAGCCAGCCTAACCGGAACGAAAAAGGCACACTTCAACTCTCCTCCCCTATAGCTCCTTACGCAACCCGTGCACCTGATTTCACCTTCATTCCAGCAAACGATCCCCCTAGATGCAACACAGCCCACTCATCCTCCTCCTCATCCTCCTCATCCTCGTCCTCTCCCCCCTCCCCTTCACCCCCCTCTTTCCCCACCTTCACCCCACTCCCAAACCCGTCACCATCGCTCAACCCATGACCCCTCAAACCATCATTCCCTGCAATCCGAACCGGCACAGCCAACACAGGCGCCGGGGATGAGAAGAGCACACTTGAACCCTCCCCTGTGCTTTCTCCCTTGGCTTGGATTGCTCCGATACGGACAGAGGACACTCCTTGCTGGCCGAAGCCTGGTTCCCCTCCCCAGGGGATTCCTCGGAAGAACGGGTGGGCCTTCAGCCGGGGGTAACCCCCCATGTGTCTTGAACCCAGGCGCTTCTTTGGCTCCATCTCCTGCCAACCGCAAGAGGGGGGGAGGCGGGGCGACAAGGACGATGGGGAGGGACGAGGGATGATTACAAAGCCCCTCAGAGGATTCCGTGGAAGAACGGGTGGGCATTCAGCCGGGGGTACACGACCATGTGCCTCGACCCCAGACGCTTGTTGGAATCTATCTCCTTCCAGTCATGGAGGAGAGGAGAGACGGGGAATAAGTCACATTGCCCCATAGGATTCCGTGGAAGAACGGGTGGGCTTTCAGCCGGGTGGGCGAGACACATGGATGCAAACAGCCCAAGGAAGGAGGAGGGTAGGGTATGTATAATAGGGAGGTAGGTTTCATATGGATTTACATCCCTCCCAGCAGCTAGCTTAGGCATAACAAGAAGCAGTTGGCATATCAGAAGGCAGCAGACCAGCAGGCAGTTAACATACCACCAGGCAGTTGACACAGACACTGTCTGGCTGTCTCTTTAAGAGGTGACTCGATAAGTGCAGCACACACAAGCAGGCAGTTGAGAGATACACTTCCTGGTGGACTCTTCAGGAGGTGACTCGATATATGCAGTACGGACCGGTAAGCAGTCGATGAAGCTTCGAGCCTCGTTGCTGAAGTGGTTGGGGACAGTCAACTTCGTCTCCTATTGTGGGGAAGATCCACAAGAGGACCCTCTGAACTTCCAAAAGAGGAGAAGCTCGCTGGGGGACTCTTTAAGAGGCAACTCGATATATGTACTATGCGCCTGTAAGCACCTGACATAGCAGCAGGCAATTGACAGGGCTGCGAGCTTTCATTTCTGAAGTGGTTGGGTACGGTGAGGTTGCAAGAGAGGAAGTCTTCATCTTTTGAAAGAGGAGACACTTGCTGGGGTACTCTTTAAGATGAATCTCGATACATGCAGTAGGCAAAGCAGGAGGCATACCGGAAGGCAGTTGACGAGGCTGCGGCCTTCGTTGCTGAAGTGGTTGGGCACGGTCAATTACCGAGAGAGGATCTTCTGGAAGCACAGATACTCGCTGTGTGACTCTTTTAGCGGCAACTCAATATACGTATTACGCAGACTCACCAGTAGGCAGTTGACGAGGCTGCGGGCTTCATTGCTAAAGTAGTTTGGCACAGTGAGATCCCGAGAGAGGATCTTCTGGAAGCACAGATAATGATACACTTGTTCTGGAAGCCTCGATATACCTATTAACATACACACCAGCAAGCAGTTGACGAGGCTGCGGGCTTCATTGCTGAAGTGGTTGGGCACGGTGAGATCCCGAGAGAGGATCTTCTGGAAGCACAGATACTCGCTGGCTCCCTTGAATGGCGGCACACCCGCTAGCATCTGATAGATGATGCAGCCTAGCGCCCAGAGGTCAGCCCTGGGGTGGAGAGGGGTGGAGAAGGGTGGAGAGGGGTGGAGAGGGGTGAAGACGGGTGGGAAGGGGTGGAGACGGTAAACGAGGGGTAAGGAGGAGTCTGTTTAGAAGCACAGGCTCCCTTGAATGGCGGTGCACCCGCCAGCAACTGATAGATTATGCAACCCAACGCCCAGAGGTCAGCCCTGGGGTGGAGAGGGGTGGAGAGGGGTGGAGAGGGGTGAAGACAGGTGGGAAGGGGTGGAGATGGTTAACAAGGGGTAAGGAGGAGTCTGTTTAGAAGCACAGGCTCCTTTGAAGGGCGGCACACTGGCTAGCATCTGATAGATGATGTATCCTAGCGCGCAGAGTTCGGCCCTGGTGAGGGGAGGGAGAGGGATGAAGAAGGGTAGAGAGAGGTGAAGAGGAGTTCGTTTGGAAGCACTGGTACTCGCTGGCACCCTTTGAAGGGCAGCGCGCCCGCTAGCATCTGATAGATGATGTATCCTAGCGCGCAGAGGTCGGCCCTGGTGAGGGGAGGGAGAGTTGGGCAAATGAGAGACAGATTGAGAACACTGCGCCATGGCTATGTGCCGTGCAAGGGGCATGGGAGCATGGGTGCATGGGTGCATGGGAGCATGGGAGCATGGGAGCATGGGTGCATGGGTGCATGGAAGCATGGGAGCATGGGTGCATATGTTGTGTATGCAACTCGCTCAAAGGACACAAACCTATCGTCAAGCAGCTCTGGAAAGACTTACTCTTATTTGCTGTGCATGGCATGGGTGCATGGATTCATGGGTGCATGGGTGGGAGCATGGGTACACGTACTCTTGCTGTGCTGTGTTGATGGGCAGCGGCACATACCATGGCAGGGCATGACATGGGTGCGTATGGGTGCATGGTTGAACGGGTGCGTATGGGTGCACGCAACCCACTCAAAGGATACAGGCCCATCGTCCAGCAGCTCCGGAGGGACGTACTCTGCTGTGCTGTGCTGTGATGAGTTGAGGCGCACTAACATATGGGCACATGAGTGCATGAGCACATGAGCACATGGGTGCATGTAACTCACTCGAACGACACGGGCCCATCGTCCAGCAGTTCCGGAGGGACGTACTCCGCTGTGCCCACAAATGACCCACTGCGCTCGTCTGTAGTTTCAGGGAGGGAGGAGGAGAGAGGGAGAACAAGCTACGACAGCATGAGGCAGTGGGAGGAGTAAGTGGTTGGACATCAGGAAGTGGTTGGACATCAGGAAGTGGTTGGACATCAGGAAGTGGTTGGACATCAGGAAGTGGTTGGACATCAGGAAGTGGTTGGACATCAGGAAGTGGTTGGACATCAGGAAGTGGTTGGACATCAGGAAGTGGTTGGACATCAGGAAGTGGTTGGACATCAGGAAGTGGTTGGACATCAGGAAGTGGTTGGACATCAGGAAGTGGTTGGACATCAGGAAGTGGTTGGACATCAGGAAGTGGTTGGACATCAGGAAGTGGTTGGACATCAGGAAGTGGTTGGACATCAGGAAGTGGTTGGACATCAGGAAGTGGTTGGACATCAGGAAGTGGTTGGACATCAGGAAGTGGTTGGACATCAGGAAGTGGTTGGACATCAGGAAGTGGTTGGACATCAGGAAGTGGTTGGACATCAGGAAGTGGTTGGACATCAGGAAGTGGTTGGACATCAGGAAGTGGTTGGACATCAGGAAGTGGTTGGACATCAGGAAGTGGTTGGACATCAGGAAGTGGTTGGACATCAGGAAGTGGTTGGACATCAGGAAGTGGTTGGACATCAGGAAGTGGTTGGACATCAGGAAGTGGTTGGACATCAGGAAGTGGTTGGACATCAGGAAGTGGTTGGACATCAGGAAGTGGTTGGACATCAGGAAGTGGTTGGACATCAGGAAGTGGTTGGACATCAGGAAGTGGTTGGACATCATCATCAGGACCGGAGGGACATCATCATCAGGACCGGAGGGACATCATCATCAGGACCGGAGGGACATCATCATCAGGACCGGAGGGACGTACTCCGTTGTGCCCACAAATGACCCACTGCGCTCATCTGTGGTGGAGGGAGGAGAGGAGGAAGGGATAGCAGGAGGAGACGAGGCAAAGGGCAGCTACCGGGGTGAGGGATTGTCCAGCAGCAAGGTGACTTTTGAGACGACTCAAAAGTCACGGGGCGAGGTGAGGGATTGTCCAGCAGCACGTGCAAGTGAGAGGCGTGAGCGGATGTGCAAATCAGATCAGGAGGGACATGCTCTGCTGTGCCCACAAACGACCCGCTGCGCTCATCTGCGGTGGAGGGATTGTCCAGCAGCAAGGTGACTTTGCTCTGCTGCAGCAAATCAAATCGGGAGGGACATGCTCTGCTGTGCCCACAAACGATTGTAGTGAGTCGATTTTTGAGTCGGGTGAGGCTCACAGTCGACTCAAAAACCGGGAGGGACATGCTCTGCTGTGCCCACAAACAATTCACTGCTGGTTCCAAGAACGACTTTTGAGACGTCTCAAAAGGCGTACACTGCTGGTCCGAAAAACGATTAGCAGTGCTCATCTGCAGTGGCTGGCAGAGAAACAAGAAGGAGAAGGTGAGATGAGGAGGCCCTCCTCAGGAAGGTAGGGAAGAGTGAAATGTGTAAGAATGAGAAATGGGAGAGAAAAGGGAGAAACAAATCAAATGGGAGACAGAGAGAACGAGAGGAAAATAGCGAAATTGGAGAAGTGAAAGGGGGTGAAGAAGTTAGGCATGAATTAGAGACCGTGGATGAAAGACGCGAAGGAAACAAGGCGGTGGTAGGATGGCTTCTGTGTGGAGGGTGAGGGGATGGCAGAGAGAAGGACGGGGGAAAGGGGGTCAAAAGGAAATGAGGAGGCGAGAAAGGAGGGGAAGAGGGAGGTGAGGAGGGATGGGAGGAGGGCGGGGGGGTGACAGGCTGTCGGGCACCCACCACTGTTGATAGCAGCAGCAGTGGCAGCTACTGCTGACGTGGCCCCAGCTGATTGGCCGTTGGTGAGCAGCTTGGCGCAGCCAAAGTCGGAGATGCGCACGTGGCCCGCTGCTGTGAGGAGAATGTTCTCCGGCTGTATTGGTTAAGGGGGAGAAGGGGTGGTGAGCGGGTAAGGAAGCGAGACAGGGGAGGGAAGGGATGCAGCCAAAGCCGGAGATGCGCACGTGGCCCGCTGCTGTGAGGAGAATTTCTCTGGCTGGGTTGATGTGTAAAGGAGGTGGAGGGGGAAGGGAGGAGTGAGGGAATGGGATGGGGGGCTTGGAGGTGGAGACTGAGGGAAAGTCGGAGATACACACGTGGCCCGATGCAGTGAGGAGAATGTCCTCCGGCTGTGTGGGGCGGGAATACGTGGCTGAGGGTATATATGGGGGAGGGGAAGGGAGGGAGGGGATGGAAGATTGCACGTGGCCCGATGCAGTGAGGAGAATGTTCTCCGGCTGTGTTGAGGGAGAAGGGAGAGAATGGGGAGGCAGGGGGGGTGGGGAATATGGGAAGAAGGGAGGTAAGGGAAGGGAGAAAGGGAGGGAAGGGATGCAGTCAAAGCCGGAGATGCGCATGTGACCCGCTGCTGTGAGATGAGAAGAATGTTCTCCGGCTGTGTGGGGGGTGAGAGGGAAGGGAGGGATGGGTGGATGAGAGGGAGAGGGGAGCAAGGGGTCACTTCTGAGAATTCTCTGAAGGGAAGGTCGCATGCGGTGGGAGGCGATGCAGTGAGGTGGATGCTCTCCGGCTGTGTGGTGAGGGAGGGGGAGTGGGGGCAATGGTGGAGAAGGGGAATGAGGGAAAAGGAAGGGAGAAAGGGAGGGGAGGGAAGGGAAGCAGTTGAAGTCGGATCGGAGATGCAAACATGGCCCGATGCAGTGAGGAAAATGTTCTCTGGCTGTATTGAGGGAGGACGGGGGGTGGGGAGAATGGGAGAGAGGGGGAAGGGAGAAAAGGAAGGGAGAAAGGGAGGGAAGGGAAGAGCAGTTGAAGTCGGATCGAACACTCCGTCTGTGAGAACGTGGCCCGATGCAGTGAGGAAAATGTTCTCTGGCACGGGGGAAGGGGTGGGGGAGGGAACGGGAGGAGGGATGGGGGTGGGAGAGGGCTAAGTTGGAAAAAACGCAAGTTTGATGTTGCGTATTGAGTTTATACGCATCTAAAATTCGTACGCTGCGTATTTTTCTAAAATTCGCCAAATTTCTCTCGGGCTGACCGGGAAAAAAAAATCAGTTGTGTTCGCGAGTATCGGAATTCAGATTTGAGATCGCGAATTGCAAATGCAACCTCAGATCTGAATTTCGAAACCGTTTGGTGAATCGTCCCCTCCTATCAACCGCTCAACAACCCATTCCATCCAACCACATCGATTACCAATGCCTTCCAATTTTGTTGCCAACTTCAACCAGACTCATCCTCCCCGCTCAATGTCAGGCCGTTTTTCCCTTCGATCCCCTTCTAATTTCACTTGCGACGATAACCTACTACAGCAGCTCCCGTTCCCGTCTCTTGACCTAGCATCTTAACCTGCCCGGGAAAAGAATTTAGCTGCCCGGGCAAGCGTTTTTCTGTGCGTACCAGACCCCCTCCGGCTAGCGTACTGCGTATAAACTCTAGCGTTTATACGGAAAGCGTACTAAACGCGAAACGCGTTTTTTCCAACATAGGGAGAGGGAGGGGAGGAAGGGGCGGGAAAGCTCGCACGTGGGAATGGAGGAGAAGTCGAAGGTGAGCATGTGGCATTATAACGAGGTGACTTTTGAGTTGTCTCAAAAGTCACGAAGTCGGAGATGGGCAAGTGGCCTGCCCAATGCAGGTGTGAATTTATTTTTTGAGAGAGAAATTTCAAAACACGCCATAACAGAGAGAACTCTTTGGCTGTCACCTCACCTTCTCCTCTGGCTTTGAGGCCTACACACTATTTACTGTAGATACAAGGATGTAAGCGCACAAACTCATTAGTAGCGCACTCGTTATAAGCTTCACCAGTGCTCACCTTAAGGTCTCTGTGCACCACTACTTACGAGTGCATGTGCTCCAGGACACACACATCCATTCAACTCATACTTGCTATAATCTTCACCGCTGTTTACCTTAAGGTCTCTGTGCACCACTCCTTGCGAGTGCATGTACTCGAGAGCACACACCACCTCGGCTGCATAAAACCGAGCTTCTTCCTCCGATAGCTTGCCCTTCTGCACGCGGAAGGAAGACAGACAGAGGAGTACAGAGGAGGAGCACAAGGGAATACAGAGGATTTAAGAGGAGTACAGAGGATGCATGTACTCCAGTGCACACACCACCTCGGCTGCATAAAACCGAGCTTCTTCCTCCGATAGCTTGCCCTTCTGCATGCGGAAGGAAGACAGACAGAGGAGTACAGAGGAGGAGCACAAGGGAATACAGAGGATTTAAGAGGAGTAGAGAGGATGCATGTACTCCAGTGCACACACCACCTCTGCTGCATAAAACCGAGCTTCCTCCTCTGATAGCTTGCCCTTCTGCCTGTGGAAGGAAGACAAAGGAGTACAGAGCAGTACAGAGTTTTACATGTGCATGTAGCTCGCTTGTTTCTTTGTACAATAGAAGACGCAAGAAAAATATATCAAAGAATGAGGCACAAGATTAACACAAAGGGAACCATCACGAGTCTAGAAAAAAAAAAAGAAAAAAAAGGCCAGGGAAAGACATTAGTGGTGGAGTAGAGAACGAGATAAGGATGGACATGGTATAAGCTAGTGTAACGGGTGAGGGAGAGAAAGAAGCAAGGCAGGAGGAGAAAATCTGAACTGAAGGCCATACCAATCTAATTTGGTCAAAGAGCTCTCCCCCGTGGCAGCACTCCAGCCCCATGTCTGTGGTGGGTCAGATGGGGTAGAGAGAGGGGAGGACAGAGCGGGAGAATGGAAGTGAGGTAGGGGAGGTAGGTAGGGGAAGGATGAGCGATATCTCGGTTTTTGAGTCGACTCAAAAACCGTCTCCTCACACGTGGAGGTAGGTAGGGGAAGGATGAGCGACACCTTTTGGTCGAAAAGCTCTCCCCCATGGCAGCACTCCAGCCCCATGTCTGTGCATGGAGGGATAGAGGGATGGGAGGAATGGAGGGGGTTATGGAGGAGAGTTAGGGGAGGAAAGGATGAAGGGTCTGTTCTGGTGAAAGAGCTCTCCCCCGTGACAGCACTCCAACCCCATGTCTGTGCATGGAGGGATAGAGGGATGGGAGGAACAGAAGGGCAGGGGAGAGATGATGACAGGGTCTGGTCTGGTGAAAGAGCTCTCCCCCATGACAGCACTCCAACCCCATGTCTGTGCATGGAGGGGAGGAGCACCGGGAGGTGAAAACGTTTGATTGACACCTCCCCGCTGATTCGGTTGATTCGGTTGATTGATTTATTTGATTCGGTTGATTCGGTTGATTCGGTTGAAGAGCACCCTTCCTCATGGCATCACCCAAATCCCATGTGGGGGGCTCGTCTTGGAAAGTGAAGAGCTGGGATCACAGAGGAAACGCTGATCCTAAAGCCCAACAATCCATGTCTCACAGTGGGGGTGCTTTTGAGTCGACTCAAAAGCTAAAGCCCAACAATCCATGTCTCACAGTGGGGGTGCTTTTGAGTCGACTCAAAAGCTAAAGCCCAACAATCCATGTCTCACAGTGGGGGTGCTTTTGAGTCGACTCAAAAGCTAAAGCCCAACAATCCATGTCTCACAGTGGGGGTGCTTTTGAGTCGACTCAAAAGCTAAAGCCCAACAATCCATGTCTCACAGTGGGGGTGCTTTTGAGTCGACTCAAAAGCAGACTCATTCTGGAAGGTTTTTGAGTCGTCTCAAAGGCAGACTCATTCTGGAAGGTTTTTGAGTCGACTCAAAAGCAGACTCATTCTGGAAGGTTTTTGAGTTGACTCAAAAGCAGACTCATTCTGGAAGGTTTTTGAGTCGACTCAAAAGCAGACTCATTCTGGAAGGTGAAGAGCAGGCGCACGACCCCCGGGTGCCTGACAGCAAGAATCTTAGCCTAAAGCCCGATGGCAGATCATACACAGAGGGAGAGATACCATCGTGTTTTGAGTCGACTCAAAACACTGACAGCAAGACTCTTAGCCTAAAGCCCGACGGCAGATCATACACAGAGGGAGAGATACCATCGTGTTTTGAGTCGACTCAAAACACTGACAGCAAGACTCTTAGCCTAAAGCCCGACGGCAGATCATACACAGAGGGAGAGATACCATCGTGTTTTGAGTCGACTCAAAACACTGACAGCAAGACTCTTAGCCTAAAGCCCGACGGCAGATCATACACAGAGGGAGAGATACCATCGTGTTTTGAGTCGACTCAAAACACTGACAGCAAGACTCTTAGCCTAAAGCCCGACGGCAGATCATACACAGAGGGAGAGATACCATCGTGTTTTGATTCGACTCAAAACACTGACAGCAAGACTCGTAGCCTAAAGCCCGACGGCAGATCATACACAGAGGGAGAGATACCGTCGTGTTTTGAGTCGACTCAAAACACTGACAGCAAGACTCGTAGCCTAAAGCCCGACGGCAGATCATACACAGAGGGAGAGATACCATCGTGTTTTGAGTCGACTCAAAACACTGACAGCAAGACTCGTAGCCTAAAGCCCGACGGCAGATCATACACAGAGGGAGATACCATCGTCATTTGGCCCGTTACCCATAGCCGTGGCTCACAGAGGGAGTGTTGGTCGGTCCTGAAACGTGACGAGCAGGCGCACGACCCCCGGAAGCCTCAAGGAGCCAAGAAGCAGGTTGTGTGCTGAGGAGATGTTAGGCTTAAGTTTTTTGAGAATTCTAAAAAAACATTGGGAGCCAAGAAGCAGATTATATGCTGAGGAGATGTTAGGCTTAAAACCCAAGCAAGCGAGTCTGTATGTCTGTCTGTCTGTCTGTCTGTCTGTCTGTCTCGCAGAGGGAGTGTTCGTCCTGAAACGTGAAGAGTAGGCGCATGACACGGCCCCCGGGTGTATCAGGCGGCTAAGAATGGTACCACGCGGACAGCCCTCATCCTCGTTTTAAGCAGCCTCATGTAGATGAACTCAGCCTAAAAGCCCGAGCCAGCTAGCACGGCTCACAGAGGGAGTGCTCGTCCTGGAAGGTGAAGAGCAGGTGCACGATCCCTGGGTGCCTCAGCAAGCCCAGAAGCAGGCTATATATGCAGAGGTAATGTTTGTCTTGATCTCCAAGACAAGCAAGCAGGGCTCACAGAGGGAGTGCTCGTCCTGGAAGGTAAAGAGCAGGCGCACGATTCCCGGGTGCCTCAGGCGGTCGAGAATGAGGCGCTCCATTTTGATGTATGCCACCTTCCTCTCCTTCACTATGTGCCGCTTGTCCATTTATTTTCAGTGCGCACTTACAGCCAGGCGCACCCCCGTCTCATCCTCCTTGTAAGCAGCCTCACTGGAAGAATCCTAGCCTCCTAAAAGCCCAGAAGCAGAGCGCACACAACACAAGGTATTCCTTGGAGTAAAGCCCAAGAGACCAGCGCTCACAGAGGGAGTGTTCATCCTGAAACGTGAAGAGAAGGCGCACGATTCCTGGGTGCCTCAGGCGGTCGAGAATGAGGCGCTCCATTTTGATGTATGCCACCTTCCTCTCCTTCACTATGTGCCGCTTGTCCATTATCTTCAGGGCGCACTCGGAGCCGGGCGGACAACCCTCATCCTCGTTATAAGCAGCTTTGCTTGGCTTGCGTCGAGCGAGCACAACCTGGTGGGGTCATGAAAGATGTGAGATAGAACAAAGGCAGGATTGTGAGGGGAAAAAACAAACAAACAAACAAACAAAAAGCTTCACTCTTGATAAGATCCTCATCAGCTAAAAAATCTACTGACTGTTGATATACTTTTGAGGCGCCTCAAAAGTTTATATACTAGCTCCCCTTCTGAGGCTCTGGAATCACCTACTCAGCGCATTAGTCCCCTTCTGACTTCATTCAGCTCTTCCATATCAGCGGGGAGCGATCAGGGCATGTGAATTTCACTCAGATACCTCACAATTATTTCCTCACCGAGAGACATCACGAAGGGGCCTCACTATGTAGGAGGGTGGGGCTTGGATTGAGGATGAGAGGGGCTCACAACGAGAATAAGAGAGGCTTACAACGAGGACGAGACGAAATTACCTTGGAGTGGGAACCATGAGGCGCCTAAAGAATCACCTTGATAGAAGGGCCTCACCTTGGAGTAGGAGCCAAGACCCAGGAGCCGCCCATATGTGAAGTCCCGAGCCGAGAGAGCCAATCGCGGTGCGCCACCTGTCCCTGCTGCTCCATTGGCTCCTCCAATTGCTGCTGCTCCCCCACTCTCTGCTTGTCCTCCGTTTCTTGCCCCTGAGCCACGTGTCACTGCTTCATTGGTTCCTTCATTTCCCGCCAAACTCTCAGTTACCGACCCATTTCCCACTGCTCCCGAATCATCTGCTGCTGCTGCCGCCGCCGCTGCAGCTGCTGCTCCGTCTCCCCCCTGTGTTCCACCATTGGCTCCTACTGCGGCGCCATTACTCGCTTTATGACTGCTTAGGTCATTAAAGGTGGCGATCATTCCGGTACTGTCTCCGTTCGCTCCGGCGGCGGCCATAGGAGCCGTTGGAGACCGAGTCTTGTTTTTTGAGTCGACTCAAAAGCCGTTGGACGAGCGAGCGTTGACGAGAAATGTTAGGGAGGCTTGATGAACGATTTGAAAAAAAAAAAAAAAAAAAAAAAAACCTGACGAGTGTTCTTTCTTTATGAACGCTGGCGAATGTCCCGTTCCCCGTTCAAGGACCTTGTGCTCGTCTCAACCCAGTTGTGTCTTGAGTGGACTGAAACTCAGAACAATTCAAGCATCTGATACTCTTGGCGGCCGTTCGTGTCAACCCGCGGAGCTGCTGGCAAACTAACGCGGTGCGGAATGGCGCCTTATTCTCAAAGGCTAAGACAATGATGAAGCAACTGGACGTACCACCTACCTCATGTCGCTACTAGATTGCCAAGGAATAGATTTTAAGGCTAGCGTGAGGATGTACGACTAACGGCCCTAGGACCAATGGCTCGTTTCGGCAAACCAGGTGCCATGTACGCCCGATGACGCTCACGAAGCGACGGGTAGAATAAACGGCCAAACGTATCTGCAAAGCGCGTGTGCTATTGGTAGGAGCGGCATCAATGCCGACGTTTTCCTGACTGACATCATTTAGAAATCGTTAGGACTAACCGGCAACCGTTAACCCTAACAGCGTGGGTGAGCGTGACAACGCCAAGGAGAAATGCGTTGCGATTCTAAACCGATGGATTCCGTTCGGACTACTGCCGCCTAGGACTCGCTCGCGTCGCGACCGGCTGAACTGGAGAGACCGTTGCGGTTCGACTCACTGAACTGGGCTTCGCGTGCTTCAGTTTAGAATGTCGCTCAACCTGCCTCGCACAATCTCGACCGTTGAGTAGATTGGAATTGTACAGAAGCCCATCTGACGGTGCGGAAAAGTTCTGACATCAGCAGATGAAAGGTGCTACTGAGCTCAGATTGAGGTCCTCGTTATTAGACTTACGACGCTATGTCGTTTTTAAATCACTTCTGCATTCATTTGCATTAATTTGTACATCAGTTGTGGTTCAGCAGAAGCAGCCATAAATTCTACCAAAAAAATGTGGCTTTCACAAATTATGCCAATGATATTCAAGATAGTTGCACCCCTGTTCTCTTTCAGTCTACCCGAAACCAACCTAAAGGCCAGATCCGTACCCATTCCCCTCAGAAGTCACGATCAAGTGACCTCACCTCCCCTTTAGTTGAACTCAATTTCCCTCCAGATAAATCAGGAAAATCATAACTTTACAAGACGGGAGTTTCGCCACAGTAGCTCACAAACGGTTCTTACCCATCCCATGACCCCATCACTTCCACCCGCTTAGAAGTCGCCAGGTACGGTTGGTGTAGCCTCTCCCTCCCCCTCCCTCCCCTCCATCCTCCCCTCCCCCTCCCCTCTGCCTCCCCTCTCCATTCCCCTCCCACTCTCTCCTCCCCTTCAGAAGTCGCGGTTGAGCGACCTCGCTTCGGCCCATATCAAGTCCTTGATGGTTTCTTCTGGCAGCACCGGGTGCTCAAAGTCAAATGTGAATGGCGCATGGCACACCGGCTCGTCGCTGATGTCGTGCAGACTTGCGAGATATGGGTGGTCTAGACTCTCCTCCACTGGAAATGAATGGGAGAAAGAGATTGGGAAGAATGCGGATAGGAAGAGAGCGAGAGAGGGCCGGATTAGTGAAGGGGAGAGAAGGGAGCATGGCACACCGGCTCATCGCTGATGTCGTGCAGACTCGCCAGGTACGAATGGTCTAGACTCTCCTCCACTGAGAGGGGAGAGACAGAGAGAAAGAGAGAAAGGGGAACGGAGAATAATGGAGGGGTTGGATACGGAAACTAAAAAGGCACTGGTCTCATGCAGACTCGCCAGGAATGGTGGACTTTGACTGGAGGTGAATGAGGCAGATGAGGAAGAATAGGGACCACATGCGAAAGTGAGGGAGAGGTTGGGATAGTGAACGGAAGAGAGAAGGGCACATGGCGCACTGCCTTGTTGCTGGTGTCATGCAGACTCGCCAAGTAGGGATGGTCTAGACTCTCCTCCACGGGAAGTGCATGGGAGCGATGGGAAAGATATGGGGAATGAGAAGAGCGACGGCGAGAAGTGGGGTAGAGGGGGATAGAGAAGGGCGCATGGCACACTGCCTCGACGCTGATGTCATGCAGACTTGCCAGGTAGAAGAGGCCTAGACCCTCCTCGGTTGGAGATAAATGGGCAGATGGGGAAGAATGGGGAGGGAGAAGAGTGAGGGCAAGATATCGGGTAGGGGGGAATAGAGAAGGATGCATGGCACACTGGGTTGTTCCCGCACCACAGGTGGGTAAATATGCGTTCTATTGGATTGGATTGGGAGTTGGGGTGAGCGTGAGCGTGAGAGTGAGTGTGAATGGGGGAGTGCGCGGATATGTGGTCGCTGATGTAAGTGTGTGCTTCTGCTCTGCTTTGTGCACAAGCACCTATGCTAGCGACGAGAACCAGGTGACTTTTTGAGTCGACTCAAAAGTCACCTCAACTCAAAAGTCACCTCGACTCAAAAGTCACCTCGACTCAAAAGTCACCTCGACTCAAAAGTCACCTCAACTCAAAAGTCGCTTCTGCTCTGCTTTGTGCACAAGCAAGCACCTATGCTAGCGACGAGATGATTTTTGAGTCGACTCAAAAATCAACTTGCTTTGTGCACAAGCACCTATGCTAGCGACGAGAGCCCGTGCCGTTCGCTCTTCCCTTCCCCCTCTGCTCCATTCGTTTCCACGCCAGTCGAAGAGAGATGGACCACTCTATCTTGTGAGTCTTCATGACAGCAGGAACAACCCAGTAGGGATGGTCCAGACCCAGTGTGCCATGCATCCTTCTCTACTCTCCTAGTGTGATGAGTTGGTTTTTGAATCGACTCAAAAACAGACTCAGTGTGCCATGCATCCTTCTCTACCCCCCTCAGTTTTTTAGAATCCTCACAAAACAGATTCAGCATTTCGAGAACTCTCAAATTGGCAGGATCAAACAGCAGCATCCGTTCCATCAGGTCCAATGCCAGGGGAGCCATGTTGGGGTAGTGCAATGCGAGGGGCTGCTTGCGCACAAAGGGGAGTGAGCACACACCCACACTCACACTCACACTCACACTCACACCCCCTTTCCCATACAGCACATCTTGTCAGCACACCCTCCTGTGATGCGCTTGGCAGGATCAAACAGCAGCATCCGTTCCATGAGATCCAGAGAGAGGAGCCATGCTGGGGAATGCAGTGATCAGCATGGACCAACTGAGGGCCATACAAACCCACAGGTGCGCATACACCCACCTGTGATGCGCTTGGCGGGATCAAACAGCAGCATCCGTTCCATGAGATCCAGAGAGAGGAGCCATGCTGGGGAAGCAAGCGGTGAGGGGCTGCTTGCGCTCAGATGGGAGGGGGGAGCGCACCCTCACACTTACACCCACATTCCCATACAGCACGTCTTGTCAGCACACCCACCTGTGATGCGCTTGGCAGGGTCAAAGAGCAGCATCCGCTCCATGAGGTCCAACGCCAGGGGTGCCATGTTGGGGAATGCAGTAATCAGCCCCATACACCCCACCCATTCATTCACCCACCTGCCCACCCAGCCAGCCAGCCAGCCACCCACCCACCCACCCACCTGCCCACCCTGGCCCACCTGTGATGCGCTTGGCAGGGTCAAAGAGCAGCATCCGCTCCATGAGGTCCAACGCCAGGGGCGCCATGTTGGGGAATGCAGTAATCAGCCCCATTCACCCCACCCATTCATTCACCCACCCACCCACCCACCTGCCCACCCTGGCCCACCTGTGATGCGCTTGGCAGGGTCAAAGAGCAGCATCCGCTCCATGAGGTCCAACGCCAGGGGTGCCATGTTGGGGAATGTAGTAATCAGCCCCATACACCCCACCCATTCATTCACCCACCCACCCACCCACCTGCCCACCCTGGCCCACCTGTGATGCGCTTGGCAGGGTCAAAGAGCAGCATCCGCTCCATGAGGTCCAACGCCAGGGGTGCCATGTTGGGGAATGCAGTAATCAGCCCCATACACCCCACCCATTCATTCACCCACCAACCCACCCACCCATCCACCCATCCTGGCCCACCTGTGATGCGCTTGGCGGGGTCGAAGAGCAGCATCCGCTCCATCAGATCCAGAGCAAGGGGCGCCATGTTGGGGAAGCGCGCGGCGAGGGGCTGCTTGCGCACAAAGGGCAGCGAGCGCACGTAGCGGCGCGCGTTGTCACTCTCGAGGAACGAGATGTCTGAATCGTCTGGAGACCCGATGATCTGGATGGGGGGGATTGATACAGGCAAGTTTATATAGAATGTGGTGAAGGGCAGCGAGCGCACGTAGCGACGGGCGTTATCACTCTCGAGGAACGAGATGTCTGAATCATCAGGAGACCCGATGATCTGCATGGGGGGGATTGATACAGGCAAGTTTAGAAAGAATGTGGTGAAGGGCAGCGAGCGCACGTAGCGACGGGCGTTATCACTCTCGAGGAACGAGATGTCTGAATCGTCTGGAGACCCGATGATCTGTAGAGAGGGAGAGGGGAAGGGGGGAACGAGGAGGGGTGGTGGTGGGGAGGGTTGGAAGGGGATACGGGCGTGATCAGGAAGGGCGTGGGGAAGGGCAGCGAGCGCACGTAGCGACATGCATTGTCATTCTCAAGGAATGAAGATGTCTGAATCATCCGAGGACCCAATGATCTGGAGAGAGGGAGAGGGGGATGGAGAAAGATATGGGTAAGATTCGGAAGGGTGTGGTGACGGGCAGCGAATGCACGTAGCGACGAGCGTTGTCACTCTTGACGAATGAGATGTCTGGATCGATGGAGACGCGATGATCTGAAGGGGTGAAGGGGAAGGGAAGGGAGGAGAGGGAGGGGTGGAGGGCCTTTGAGGCGAGGCAAGAGAGTGCGCTACTGCGGCGTCTTCACAGGTGGTTCATGCACACTAAGAGCACTCACGGAGGTGATGAGGCGCAGCTGGTCCACATAGTCCTTGCCGGGGAACAGCGGCTCGCGATTCAGCAACTCCATGAAGATGCATCCCACGGACCACAGGTCGATGGCTGCCGTGTACGCCTGGAGTGGGGGGAGAATGAGAGGGGTTGAAAGAGGTTGAGAGTGGTACTAAGTGATTGCAGTACTGAACAGCCGGTTCAGCAGCTCCATGAAGATGCATCCCACTGACCACAGGTCGATGGCTGCCGTGTACGCCTGGAGTGGGGGGAGAATGAGAGGGGTTGAAAGAGGTTGAGAGCGGTACTAAGTGATTGCAGTACTGAACAGCCGGTTCAGCAGCTCCATGAAGATGCATCCCACTGACCACAGGTCGATGGCTGCTGTGTACGCCTGGAGTGGGGGGAGAATGAGAGGGGTTGAAAGCGGTTGAGAGCGGTACTAAGTGATTGGAGTACTGAACAGCCGGTTCAGCATCTCCATGAAGATGCACCCCACGGACCACAGGTCGATGGCTGCCGTGTACGCCTGGTGGTGGGGAGGAGAGGAGGAGTTGAATGCGGCTAAGAGCGGTTAAGACATGGTTCAAAGGGGCATCAGCTACCAACAAGCGATTCAGCAGCTCCATGAAGATGCACCCCACAGACCACAGGTCGATGGCTGCAGTGTACTCCTGGTGGGGGGGGGGGGGAGGGGGTGTTGAATGCGGTTGAGAACGGCTGTAAGTGGTACCAGTTACCAACAAGCGATTCAGCAGCTCCATGAAGAGGCACCCCACCGACTACAGGTCGATGGCTGCTGTGTACGCCTGTGTTTCCGATGGCTGCTGTGTACGCCTGTATTTCCGATGGCTGCTATGTACGCCTGTATTTCCGATGACTGCTGTGTACGCCTGTATTTCCGATGGCTGCTATGTACGCTTGTCTTTCCGATGGCTGCTATGTATGCCTGTTTTTCCGATGGCTGCTGTGTACGCCTGTATTTCCGATGGCTGCTGTGAATTCCTGTGCTCCCATAAGATGTTAAAACCGCTATGCTCACTCACCCTGCCAAGGACAACGGCTCAACCAGCCATGCTAAGGGCGTATCTCAGTTCGGGTCATAAGGCCACTTTGGGGCATGCGCGTTTGCCGCATGCCCCAAACAACTAAAAACGCCACTTTGGGTCATCCGATCTCCTGCGACCCTCTGAGTGTTGCGCAGTGTCGTTAAGCAAAATCGCCCGCCAAAGCTCAATCGCCTCCAATGGCGGGAAGCCAAAACAGTTCGCAAGATCATGGGCGACGCCCACGCAAAACTTCGCGACACCCACCGGAAAAAAACAATCGTCAAAATTCCCGGCGTGAATTCCCAAATGTTGGGAGCGCGCCACGGGAAATTTTAGACACATCGAACGTCAGTGGGGTCAATTTGCCGAGTGGTTGGGTGCAGAGGTGACATTGCCCACTTGTGACACTCGAGTAACGACCGTCTAAAGATGGCAGTAAAATCAGAACCGTGCAACCAGGTGATTGGTTGGGGATGGGTCGTGCACGTCAGTCGCCCAACACCTGCACATTGACCCAAAGCTGGGGCCGCGCGCGGCTCGGCAGCCCCACTTTGGGTCATGCGCAATTTCCGCATGACCCAAACAGTAGCATGAACAGTGCTCATGACCCGAACTGAGATACGCCCTAAGGTGTTCCTTCCATGCCATGCCCGCTCACCTTGCCGTTGAGAACCAGCTCTGGGCCCACGGTACCATCTGCCATCTGGTTACCACATAGACTTTCATGCACTCACTCATGCACTCACTCATGCACTCACTCACGCACTCACTCATGCACTCACTCACTCACTCACTCATGCACTTACTCATGCACTCACTCATGCACTCACTCATGCACTCACTCATTTAGTCACTCTCTGCAATTCTCACAGTGCTCAGAAATCCTGCTCAGGTGTTCCAGCCGTGTTCACTAACTCACTCACCTTACAGTTGAGTAGCAGCTCTGCTGGGGCACGGTTCCATCTGGTTACCACTGCCTGCCTACCAGCCGTGCTAAGCAGCCGTGCCAACCATGCTCACTCACTCACCTTACTGTTTAGCAGCAGCTCTGGGGCGCGGTACCATCTGGTCTGGTCTGGTTATCACTGCCTGCCTACCAGCCTTGCTAAGCCGAACCAACCAACCGTGCTCACTCACTCACCTTGCTGTTGAGCCGCAGCTCTGGGGCACGGTACCATCTGGTTATTGCGTCAAGGGGCAGAGCTCACTCACCCTGCTCACCCACCCTGCTCACCCTGCCAATGTGTTCCTTCCAACCATGCTCACTCACTCACCCTGCTAAGGTGTCCCTTCCTGCCATACCCGCCCGCTCATCTTGCTGTTCAGCTGCAGCTCCGGAGCGCGGTACCATCTGGTTACCACATACTCACAACCCCACTCACGGTGCCCACTCACCTTGCCAAAGTGTTCCTGCCATGCTCACTCACTCACCTTGCTGTTGAGCAGTAGCTATGGGGCACGGTACCATCTGGTTACCACATACTCACGGCCCACGAACGGACCCTGCCCACTCATCTTGCCAACGTGTTTCCCCCTTGTTCCCTCACCTTGCTGTTGAGCAGTAGCTCTGGGGCACGGTACCATCTGGATCTGGTTACCTCATAATCCGTCATTTAGTCGCTCATGCAGTCACTCTCCTCACACTGCTCACTCACGGTGCTAAGGTGTGTGTGCTCACCTTGCTGTTGAGCAGCAGCTCTGGGGCACGGTACCATCTGGTTACCACATACTCTGTCATGTAGTCACTCTCCTCTGCCGATCTGTAATTAGGGGCGGAAGAGGACAAGGACAGAAATTAGATTTTTTCTTTTTTTTCACATGAAAGAAGGTTGGCTTTGAGACGTCTCAAAACCGACCTTCTTTCAAGAAGAGAACAAGGTCCAATCTTATTTTTCGTTGGAGGCAGCTGGAAGTTGGACAGAGGGATTCAAATTGTGTGATGGTGCAAGCCTACACCCTGCCAATCCCCCCCATCCCTAATCCCAACCCCCTTCAATTCACACCCTCGCCTGGCCAGCCCAAAGCCGCACCGCAGAGCTTGAGAGTCATGTTTTAGAATTCTAAAAAATGGCTCCAACATAGTTGGTGTTGGGCAGCAGGTTGGAGGGCTGCAGCTCGACTCGACTCGAGTGTGCGTGGGCGAGAGTGAGACCAGTGCCTGTCAGAGACAGTGCAGGAAACTCTCTCCCTCACCTGGCGAGGACCAAGTCGCAGATCTTGAGAGGTCACATCTGGTGTGTTGGTTAGAAAGAGGGCGCCAAGAAGTGACAACAAACACAGCCCCCATCCCCCACCCAGCCCCCATTTTACCCCCCTGTCACTCCCTGTCTCACCTGGCGAGCCCAAAGTCACAGATCTTGAGGTCGCAGTTGGCGTTGAGCAGCAGGTTGGAGGGCTTGAGGTCGCGGTGAAGCACCTAACCCCGCTTCTCCCACCCCCCCCTACTCTCCCTAACCCACTGCCACACACATACCTGGCGAGCCCAAATTCACAGATCTTGAGGTCACAGTTGGCGTTGAGCAGCAGGTTGGAGGGCTTGAATGAATATGGGTGGGTGGGTGAGAGTGAGACCAGTGCCAGCGACAGTGACAGGAGACAGAGGGAGTTCCCTCACCTGGCGAGCCCAAAGTCACAGATCTTGAGGTCGCAGTTGGCGTTGAGCAGCAGGTTGGAGGGCTTGAATGAATATGGGTGGGTGGGTGAGAGTGAGACCAGTGCCAGCGACAGTGACAGGAGACAGAGGGAGTTCCCTCACCTGGCGAGCCCAAAGTCACAGATCTTGAGGTCGCAGTTGGCGTTGAGCAGCAGGTTGGAGGGCTTGAATGAATATGGGTGGGTGGGTGAGAGTGAGACCAGTGCCAGCGACAGTGACAGGGGACAGAGGGAGTTCCCTCACCTGGCGAGCCCAAAGTCACAGATCTTGAGGTCGCAGTTGGCGTTGAGCAGCAGGTTGGAGGGCTTGAGGTCGCGGTGAAGCACCTTGGCGCTGTGCACGTACTTGAGGCCCCTCAGTAGCTGGTAGAGGAAGTACTGTAGGGGGGAATAGTGGTGGGGATGGGTGGAAATGGGTGGAGATGGGTGGAGATGGATGGAGCAGTAGGGGTAACGGAATCAGGAAGAACTAGGGCTTGAGGTCGCGGTGAAGAACCTTGGCGCTGTGCACAGCAAATACTTGAGGCCCGTCAGCAGTTGGTAGAGGAAGTACTGCAGGGAGTGGTGGAATGGAATGGACATGGGGTAGGTGGGATTCGTGTTTTGAGTCGACTCAAGTATTGAATCGACTCAAAACACGACTCAAAACATTGAGCCGACTCAAAAAAGTACTGTACGGGGTGGTGGAATGGACATGGGGTAGGCGGGATTGCAAGGTAAGGAGAGCAGGTTGAGGTGATGAGGACTTGAGTTGAGACCTTGCCAGCTACACCAGCGACTACTGTATGGTATTGGACGGAGTAGATGTACTGTATACACACAGGATATAGAGCACTTAACAAGATTCACACCTCGTTGATTCATACATATGTGTGTGCTGTTACATGTACTGCACCGCCTACACTTCCCACCTCACCTGGCAATGATCCTCAGTCAGTTGCTGGTTGGAGCGAATGATCTGATGGATGTCTGTGTCAATGAGCCCATACACGTGATTTACACTTCACCATTTACACCTGCTACGTCTCCGCCTCTTGGCCTTCATACCTGGCAGTGATCCTCAGTCAGTTGCTGGTTAGACCGGATGATCTGGTGCAGGTCGTGTCCATGAGCTCATACACGATATAGACATATGTGAACAACACAGTTACAGTGTACACCCAGGGCCAGAGTGTTGTACACACACCTGGCAGTGATCCTCAGTCAGTTGCTGGTTAGACCGGATGATCTGGTGCAGGTCTGTGTCCATGAGCTCATACACGATGTAGACATCATTGAATGTGTCACGCGCTGGAGGAGGGATGATGTCCCTGATAGCCACCACCTGGTGTGGATGCATCGTGCACAAGGGGGGCGATGGGAGGATCGAGGGAGGGAGGGAGGGCGATGGGATGTGAGAGTTGAACGAGCGTTTATGAGCTCATGCACGATGTACACGCCATTGAATGTGCCACACGCAGGCGGGGGGGTGATGTCCGTGATAGCCACCACCTGGTGTGGATGCATCGTGCACAAGGGGGGCGATGGGAGGATGGAGGGAGGGAGGGAGGGAGGGAGGGAGGGAGGGAGGGAGGGAGGGAGGGAGGGAGGGAGGGAGGGAGGGAGGGAGGGAGGGAGGGAGCGTGGGAGGGAGCGAGGGGAGTTCAAGGAAGCAGATATGGTCATTTTGGCTATCAAAGGCGTTCTGAAACTTCCTTAAAAGAGGGACAGGCAGGAAGGTAGGCAGCCGAGAGAGAGAGAGAGAGAGTCACGTTCCCATGGTCCACCACACACCATGCCATACGGTGCGTGTCAGTACGACAGGGACTCCCGCTCCACGTGTCAGGCAGGCTCACTCACAGGCTCATGCTTTATGGTCCATGTGCCTTTAGCTCATTCAATTTGACAATCTCACTCATGGGGCGTCAGGCAGAGACTCACGCTATGCTTCACAAAGAGACTCACTCACCACACACCACGCCATACGGCGCGTGTCAGTAAGACAGGGACTCACGCTCCACGTGTCAGGCAGGCTCACTCACAGGCTCATGCTTTATGGTCCATGTGGCTTGAGCTCATTCAATTTGATAATCTCACTCATGGGGCGTCACGTCAGGCAGAGACTCACGCTATGCTCCACAAAGAGACTCACTCACCACACACCACGCCATACGTGTCAGGCAGGCAGAAACGTTCTTGTGGTCCATGTGCCGAAGCACCCTGATCATCTTAGCTCATTCATACACCAAGTCACGTTCTCATGGTCCACTGATACCAGCTCACCTTGATACCCCTCAGCGTTCTCTTGGTGGTATCAATGCGGTTGTTTGAGGCGTTGGCTATCATCTTGATAGCATGACAGAGAGGCAGAAAGAGACTCACGTTCTAGTGGTTCAGATGGGGACCAAGCAGTTGATCATCTTAGCTCATGCATACACCACCTCACATTCTCATGGCCCACGTGTTATTCAGGAAAAGAGACTCACGTTTTTGTGGTCCATGTGTCAAAGCAGCTTGATCTCCCTCAGCGTTCTCTTGGCGTCGATCCGGTTGTCAGAGGAGTTCACAAGCGGAGACTCACGGTATCATGGTCCTAGTGTCAGGCAGAGACTCACGTTCTCGTGGTCCATGTGTCGCAGCAGCTTGATTTCCCTCAGCGTTCTCTTGGCGTCGATCCGGTTGTCAAAGGCATTGGCGATCTTCTTGATCGCCACCTCCTCCTGAGTCTCCGAGTTGATGGCCGAACTGCAAACACACGGGAAGGGTGGCATGGCAAGCAATCGACGGAAAAATAAAGGGGGTCCAAAGAAAAGCGCAAAAAAAAAAACACACAAATGGAGCACGAAAAGAGGAGGCTAGGGAGAATAATGAAGCACTGCAAGGAGATGAGAACCAAGAATAGGAATGGGATGAGGCTGGTGCATGAACGGGGACGAGAACTGGCGAGAGATAAGGAAAGTCGGCCATACATCAGGCAGTACACGAACGTTCAGAACGAACCACTCAACCAATCCCAATCCCAAAAAAAAAACCTTTGTTTTATTGTTTTTGTGTCATGTCAGAAGGCAAAGAGCACTTACCACACAATTCCGTAGGCTCCACGCCCGATTGGCCGAATAGGCGGCACATACTTTGCAGTAACCTCGAACATATTTCCGTAAATGTTATACTGCGTGTACGCCCCGTCATACGTCGGAACTCCCACAATTTCCGGCTCGAAAGGCTCGCCAGACCCGTCATCGTCGTACCCGTCCTCCCCGGGATCGCCATCCCCGTCACGGAGGTCTTCGCTATACTCTACAGCCCCGCCGTCGTCGTCCCGCTTTCCGTCCATGTGATGGTTATATTCTTCCGTCATCCCCGTTATATACTGACGTGTGAGTGCTATAAGAACGAGAGTTACTTCTGCTGATTAAGAGCTAAGGGTAGGAACTAAGAAAACAGCGATCAGGCAAACGGAAAGCTTTAAACTGATAAGTAACGGCTGGTTCAGAGTTTCGTTTCCTTTAAGATGCCACAAGACGTCTTGTTAATCAGGTACGCACGGTAACACGGTTGGACGGTAGCGCGACACGGTAACTGCGAGAGCTTTAAACTGGAAAGACAGGTGAATGAAAACAGTAGAGACTACGGCTGCAGAATACTGAACCTACGACATTCTGCACTTGATATCGCGCATGCTTGCGACTAAGGGGGGATACAGGAAAGGCGTCACCAGCTGAATTGCATCAATCAGGTCGCGCACTCGCAGAGAACGTCGCACGACACGATCGCACTACTTAGTCGCACGACCTAATCACATGACCCAATCGCACTGTGGAAACTTCAGCTTGGTCGACGGACCAAAATCCCTGATCCAAGCACGGACAAGGAAGCGAGCGAACCAATGGGCTGGGAAATGCAGTCAACGAAGTGCGATCAATACCGTTTTAGGAGAAACTAGAGGCGCAGTGCGACTACAGCTGCAGGAGAAACAGACTAAGGGTGTGTATCGCGTGTTTGCAAAAATCAGGTCAACCAACAGTCACTTGAATGGTACAGTTCGGTGGCGAGCTAGAAAAAGTGGTTAATGAACTTTCAGATGCGGTTCTTTACTCCTCGATGCGGTATCTGGGTATTAACCCAACTCGATACAAGGCCTGGTCGCTGAACCGCTCAAGGGGGCGGTGCGTACCAAGGGAATGTCATGTTTGATTAAAATGTCATTACACTGGATGGAATACGACTCGTAAACATTCAAGTACGGTATCATACGTTAACTCTCGGTGCTTTGATCTCCCAATGGTAGGTCATCTGAATGGGGTTGTCGTCAGTCTAGCAACAGCAGCCTGACGGAACAGAAACCTGAGGACCCATTTCAACTGTCTGCTTGTCTGACTGGAATCAAACTGATGATGACTGACGCCAGCCGAACCTGGCTCCCTCGAGGTTGTTTGGCTGGAAACCAGGGGAGCTTGGCGCTTCGGTCACTAGATTCACGAACAAGGCAATAGGTGGTACAGTAACGCGCGGAAAGCAGATTCTTTGGAGTGAGGGCGGGGCGGGAACGAAATAGGGGCGGAGGCGTGCGCTCCGCCACGGAAAGGGGAATGGCTGCGGGCGAAAAGTGGAGCGGGAAAATCTTGACCATAGGGATGAATCTTATTGGATTGCAGCTATTTATCATTCCCACAGGAAAATACATTATACTATATTGATGATAACAATCAGTATCAGGAGTCAAAATGCCAATAGGGTGAAATGCCTCCACTATTAGTCATTAGGTGTGAAACAAGGCACACAATGATAGTAGGCACGCATTAAGAGGGGGCTGAAGTAAAGAGTGGGGCTCTACTAGAACTTGAGGGTGAAGTGGCAGGGGAATTGGGAGGCGAAGGCATGGCCGTCATATGAAATGGGAGTGGAGGAACCAGCATGAGCGATTTGGTGTTTGGCGCCACGTTCACCATGTGCCCCCTCCCTCCCCACATGCCTCTCCGCACATTATTTATCCGTAGCGTACGTGCCTCCTGTTTTTTAGCCAAATGTGAGTTGGAACACGCAAGAAAAGAAAGTAAGTGAGATACACCAAAGAGCACAACAGATTAGGGAAGGACGGCGTAATCAACCAATGAGAACGGATTTTGGCCTTGCCTCCTATTCTGTCACGCAACGTACTGCCTGCTTGTACTTGTTACAAGCAGCCCCAGAATCATGCCTCAGACGTACCTGGCAGAGCGCGCAGCAGGAGCAACAGGCGTGATAGATGCAATCTGTTGCCTCATCGCCCTGCATGGTTGTGTTGGGAAAATTGAGAGCGATACTTTTTGAAAAAAAAAAATCAAACCTGATAGGTGCAATCCGATACTTCATCACCCTGCATGCCGTGCATGGTCAGGTGAATAGAGCGAGAAAGTGAGGGAGAGGGACAGTGAAAGGGAGAGGTCACCGAGGAGGGGGAGGGGATATAGGGTCAAGCATGTTTATGCAGAGATTACAGTGTTTAACCACATGCTCTTTCCATGGTGGAAACAAGAGGACAAGAAGTGTTCATGTTCATGCTCTTCCCATCATGCCAAATGATCCTGCATCCTGCTTTTGCCATGCTTGCACACGAGGTGAGCCTTTTACTGCAGCCAGGATGTGAGATGCAAGCACATCACACTGCGCCTTGCCTCGCCTGCTTGCCTGCTAGCCTGTTTGCCTGCTTGCCTGCTCGCCTGCTTTCCTGCTCGCCTGCTAGCCTGTTTGCCTGCTTGCCTGCTCGCCTGCTTTCCTGCTCGCCTGCTAGCCTGTTTGCCTGCTTGCCTGCTTTCCTGCTCGCCTGCTAGCCTGTTAGCCTGCTTGCCTGCTCGCCTGCTTTCCTGCTCGCCTGCTAGCCTGTTTGCCTGCTTGCCTGCTCGCCTGCTTTCCTGCTCGCCTGCTAGCCTGTTTGCCTGCTTGCCTGCTCGCCTGCTTTCCTGCTCGCCTGCTAGCCTGTTTGCCTGCTTGCCTGCTCGCCTGCTTTCCTGCTCGCCTGCTAGCCTGTTTGCCTGCTTGCCTGCTTTCCTGCTCGCCTGCTAGCCTGTTTGCCTGCTTGCCTGCTCGCCTGCTTTCCTGCTCGCTTGCTAGCCTGTTTGCCTGCTTGCCTGCTCGCCTGCTTTCCTGCTCGCCTGCTTGCCTGCTCGCCTGCTTTCCTGCTCGCCTGCTTGCCTGCTCGCCTGCTTGCCTGCTCGCCAGCTTGCCTGCTCGCCAGCTTGCCTGCTCGCCAGCTTGCCTGCTCGCCTGCTTGCCTGCTCGCCAGCTTGCCTGCTCGCCAGCCCAATGACCTGAATACCAAAGCGTTGGCACGTTCAAGTGCAGATGCGCTAAAACCGACCTGAATACTATGACATGGGTGAGAGGTGACTTTTGAGTCAACAAAGTCACCTCGCTAAAACCGACCTGAATACTAAGACATGGGTGAAAGGAAGGGGCACGGAAGGCTATAACTGATGGCATTGGTGAGAGGAAGGAGGAGGGGAGAAGCAAGGGAGGAGCATGGAAAGGGTAGGTTGAACCATGCCCACCCACCTGGATGTTGAGGCGTCGGCGTGTCTGTGTGCGAAAGCCACGTTTAGCGAGGTTGTTTTTGAGACGCCTCAAAAACAACCTCACTACACGTACCCACCTGGATGTTGAAGAGTTGGCATGTCTGTGTGCGAAAGCGCGCGAAACAAGAGGTTCAGAGGCTGTAGAGGAGGAGTTTTGAGTCGACTAAAAAAACTCGGCTCACCTGAATGTTGAATCACCGGCGTGTCTGAGTGCGGAAGCGCGCGGGGTAAGAGGTGCCGAGGCAGTAGAGAAGGATGCCGAGGGATGAGAAGAAGTCGAGAGTGGAGCAGAGGGCTATGAGCTGCGCGCAGGAGCATGGAACATGCTACCCCCGCATGCCTTTTGAGCAGACTCAAAAGCACCGCTCGGATGCTCCCCACCCACCCCAAGTGCCAAATCGATTCTCGAGGCAAGACTCACTTGCTGGCGCTCACCTGGATGTTGAATCGCTGGCGTGTCTGCGTGCGGAAGCGCGCGGGGTAAGAGGTGCCGAGGCAGTAGAGAAGGATGCCGAGGGATGAGAAGAAGTCGAGCGTGGAGCAGAGGGCTATGAGCTGCGCGCAGGAGCATGCTCCCCATGTGAGAGCACAGTAAATGAGGGCCTGGGGGATGAGAGGAGCAGAGAGGTTGCGGGAAGAGAGAGGCAAGGAAAGCAGGGGAAAGGAGGAACACAACACAACTCAAGGAGTGACGAAGTCGAGCGTGGAGCAGAGGGCTATGAGCTGCGCGCTGGAGCATGCTCCCCATGTGAGAGCACAGTAGATGAGGGCCTGGGGGACAAGGGGCGCAGGGAGATAAGGGAGAGAAGAGAGGAGGAAAATCCGAGGGATGAGATGAAGATTCTGAAAAGAGCAGAGGGATTTGAGGTGCGTGCATGAGCGTGCTTCCCAGCCGAGAGAGCAGTAGAAGTGTTTTGAGACGTCTCAAAACACTTCTTCATTCACGTGGCTATTCTTCTGCGCGCATGAGCGTGCTTCCGAGGTGAGAGAGCAGTAGAAGAGGGCCTGGAGGACAAAAGCAGCTCATGCCCTCCAGACCCTCTTTCCTGGAGTGCGGGGGAAAGAGAGGATGGAAACTTGAGGAGTGGAGCAGAGGGCTGTGAGCTGCGCGCAGGAGCATGCCCCCCATGTGAGAGCACAGTAGATGAGGGCCTGGGGGAAGAGAGGGAGGTCAGGGAGAAGAGATGAGATGAGAGTAGAGAGCCTGAGGGATGAGATAGAGATTCAAAGAAGAGCAGAGGGCTGTGAGCTGCGCGCAGGAGCATGCCCCCCAGGTGAGAGCACAGTAGATGAGGGCCTGGGGGATGAGAGAAGCAGAGAGGTCAGGGGGAAGAGAGAAGATTACAAGGGAGCACAATAATAACAACGACGTTTTAGGAGCATACAGCAGGAAGAAGGAGCTGAAAATAGAGCATGCTCCTCAAATATGAAGCATGTTCGAGGAGCATGCTCCTCTTCTGTCCCTCTTTCCTCGAGGAGCATGCTCTCGTGGAAAGAGGACAGAAGAGGAGTTTTGAGGCCCCTCAGATATGAAGTATGCTCCCCAGGAAAGAGGAGGGAAGATGAGATCATGGCAGGTAGAAGATTCGACTTTTGAGGCACCTTAAAAGTTGCTCCTCAGGAAAGACAACAGAAGACGAGATCGTGGCAGGTATGGGAAGCAAAAGTTGCAAACAGGATTCGGCTTTTGAGGCACCTCAAAAGTTGCTCCTCAGGAAAGACAACAGAAGACGAGATCGTGGCGGGTATGGGAAGCAAAAGTTGCAAACAGGATTCGGCTTTT